ATCTCTCACTCCTTCAGGTGTCTACATGACACAGTGATGCCATTTAAAAGACGGTACTCTATTCTGTCCCTTGAAATTGGTTTGGGGGAGCGTGGCCAGTCTGCCCTGTTTGGTGTGTCAGACAAGCTCCCCAGTACCAAGCTCATTGATGATTATATTAAAAGCTGTGTTCCCAGGGAAGGATCTGCTCAGCCACCACAAGCTTATTCATTATTTATAAACAATTAAAGGGCATGGTTCAAATGAATGCAAGCATCTGGGAAAGTCATTATTCATGTACAAATCTACTCAAGCATTTGTCATTTCCCTGGTGACTTAACATACTCTCTGTGTCTTGGGACCTCAAATTATATTAAGCAAAGTAGATGCTTAAACTCTTTTATTTAGTTTAATCGTTGGTCTCATTGCACTTGTTCAGATTATTTGGGCTCATTTAAAATTAGCCCTCCTGTCTCCTTGATGCATTAAAATAGAAAGGAGGGAAATTTCTTTTTAGAACCTATTGCATTCTGAGGATGAATGCAAATTATCCTACTATGATTCTTAATGACCCACTATTAACGTAGTAGGAAACCCAGTGCATTAATGCAATGCCACTTTTCACATCATTACTCCTAATGGAACTGTTACCAGGATAATAGCTTGACCTTTAGCTATAGATTCTGATAGCAAAATATATTCTGCTTACTCCATACCTCTATTCACACAGCATATCAGCTGTTTCCATGTCAGTGCAATGGCATCTTTTGGCCTTGTCCTAAGGTCTCATCTTCAATAGGTAAATTCTAGTTAAAAGTCCCTTTGAAGTTTGGATGTCATCCATGAATCAGAATGTCAATACTGTGCCTGGTGGAAATATTTGTTTGTGTAGGCATTTTTTGAGAAGCCTGTGCTGTGTCTTCAAAGGTCTTGGTCACGGGTCCACAGGACAGTGATTTTTCTAGCATTTTCCTTTTGAAAGCAGAAAAGTTTTAACTGAAAGAAGATAAAATGAGCAGAAGCTGTTGCCTTTTTAAGTGAATGATGAGATTCTGAGCTCAAGGTTGGATTGTAAAGTTCTGAACGTCAGCCCCTCATGGCGTGAGAGAAAGCATTCTTCAGTGGTCCCTGTGGTTCTTCTAAACTCCACTGTTGGCGTACATGGAGCCCCTCCGGCACTGGCATAGCCCAGGAATGCTTTGGTATTTTGGAACCACAACTTGCTAATGTGTGATAATTTGAGCACAAGCATTTCACAATCTAAGAAAAGAGGTTGCTATGGAAATTAATTGTATACATAGCATTATAAGTGGAAAGATGTTTACCTCATAAAACAGTCTCTTCAGTCATTTTTGTAGTATGCTTTTTCATTATACATGAATAGAATGCTAGGTACAAATAGCATTGTTTTTTAAATTTCATTTATTAAACAGAACTTCAAGCACCTTTTGACAGTTCTTCAGTTAGTAGATGCTATTCTGAGCATTTGATTGTAGTAAAACCTTTTTTATTTAGATATGTTTGACCAGTTAAGTGATTCAGATAGGCCATTTTCTAATTAGTCTACATTTTTTGAGCTCCTGCTACGTGCTAACGTTAGAAACAGGACTAGTAACTCCTGATTCGTTCACAGCATGCTTCTTAAGCTTCTTTGCTCTGGTGGGTACATTGAGGGAGACAAAGAAATGGAGGAGCTGCTGTGGGAAGCTGGAGAGCACATCTGTGCCGGGGAATGTGCCTTGTTTCCTCTGTCTGCTCTCCTTTCCCTACAGAACCTGCAGCGGTCACCTGCTTCAGACTGCTCTACTCCTTGATTCTGCTTCCTAACCATCTCCCCGGCCCCAATGTAAGCCTGTGATGGACCTTCCCATCAAGGTTCTTAGGAGATCTGTACCTCTCCCTCCAACAACTTGGTGTCATCCGATACGACTCACTCCCCTGCACACGTGATCATCCATCTGATGCCGGGCACCACGTGATTATCCATCTGATGCCGGGCACATGGTGTCAGGACCTCAGTAGCTGCGCCTTTCACTGCTGCTTGCATGACCCCATGTCACTCAACAACCCTTAGCATCCTTCCACACAGCTCTGCTGTTTTCTACTCCAGCATCCGAGACTATTTTAAATGTTTCCTACCACCATCTAATCCCTGCCTGATGACCCACTGGTGTCTTCATTAACTGATCTGTGTAGTGTCTCAGAGTCTGTCTGTCTGCCAGCTCCTCTCTGGTGTCATTTTCCTAGTATCCGCAAGTGCTTTAAGTCCCCATTCTGCTGCTGAAACTGTCCAGCTAATCCTAACCCTAGGCCATCCCTTCCGCCTAATGCTGCACCCCATTCACTCCTTAGCACCTTCCTGCTTGTCCTCAGCCTGCTACTTTCCCTCTGTCAGCAGCAGTTCCAAACCTTCCCACACGGTTCGTCCCCATGGTGCCCCCGCACTGAGCTCACATTCTCTGGAGCCTAGACACCCCCCACCCACCCTGTCTAGAACCACCTTTTATCAACACATCTCCTCATTCTCTGGCTTTCCATCTTGTTTGAAGGTGGCCCCTCTACTTCAGTCCTATATCCCATCACCCCTAGTTCCTCCAAGATGGCTCCATGAGGGTCCCTCTTTCCCATGTCCTGTTTTCACCTGCCATGCTGCTTGCTAGAACAGCCCACAAACACTTCATCCCTCCTTGCCTCTGCCTCCCCTCTGAGCCCACAAGAGTGTTGGTGGTGGCAACTCCCTCCACGGCTCCCAGCAGACACTTGCCAAGCCACTGTTTCACTAACGCTGAAGAGACATTTGTCACCCTTGCTTTGAAGTCATCCTGGCCTCCTTTGTGGCCTCTCTGCCCCCATCATCTATTCCTAAGCACTGTGTTCACCACGGTCTGTGCTCAGCCACGTGCTCTTTACTCCGTGTTTTCTGTCTTAACCGTTTTTTCTGTTTATTGTTTTAACCACCACATGCACAGTGGGTTCTTCCTGTTCAGTGAGTTCAGCACCGCAGATCTAACCAAGCAGGGATGGAAAATACTCAAGGAAAAACGAAAGAGCTTAGCATGTCACATACACACATTACCTTTGATGCTGGCAGCACAGCTCAGTGGTAAAGTACATGCTTTAAACATGTAGACTTTTGCCAGGTATGGTGGTGCACACCTTTAATTCCAGCACTGGAGAGGCTGAGGCAGATGGATCTCTGAGTTCAAGGCCAGCCTGGTCTGCAGAGCAAGCTCCAGCAGTGTAGACTTTTTTCTTGTGATCATACCACAGCAATACAACTTACTTAGTATTGGCATTGTATTAGTCATCATTGAGTTATCTAAGTTTGATTTAAAGTATGGTGATGGCATAGGTGATGCATCATTTATAAGATTATCTTCCAGGGCCTTGGGATCGATCCCTACAGACTGAGTGGTAGCAGTGTCGTTGGTCCAGCTTCTTTCCTTACGCTGCTCTGGCTAACTTGCTGCTGCCCACAGTTTAGACTCTGCAAACAGTCCTCCCAGGTCTGAGGGGATCTGCCTTTGCCTCACTTGCCTTTCTGTGGCAACTGTATCATGTTTCGCCACAGAGTGTCAGTCTCCTGCCCTGGATGCTTGATTTACTGAGACAAGCTTCGGAAAGGGACTCCCCTCCATGGCCTGCAGATTAGTCCAGAGCAGTTGTCCTTTTCCTGCGCAATGGGACTGCTTTTCCCTCTTCTGTATTTCCTTAGGACATGATTTTAGAAGTAACATTACTGATCAGGGTGTAACCAGTTTATGGATCTCATTATGTTTTATTCTTATTTCCCAAGAAAAAGTCCCAGTTTTATGCTAATAGTAATGTTTGATGGGGCCAGGTCACCACAATTTTGCTGCTATCAAATGCAGCCTTTGTGACATTGTTTTTGTAACTCAGGATAGGTGTACAATGTGTGCTTTTCAGTTCTTTGATTTACATATTAGTTGAACATTTTCCCTAGTGTTTTATACTTCAAATACACTATTGATCTATGGGACTATTGAACTTTCTCTTTTATTTGAGTGCACTCTTCGAAGATATTGAACATTCTGAGGCATATATGATGTGGGCAGGTTTTGTAGCTCTTTTAGAATGTTTGTTTTTCATTGAATGGGAATTTCAGGTTTTTTATACAGTTAAATCTGTCAATATTTCCCTGTGTTGTTTCTTTTTGAAAGAGACCTTCTAACGCACTGAAACCAGGAACATTTGAATCTCATGAAGGCCGTGTGCTGGGACCACTTACTGACCTCACCGGCAGCAAGGCGAAAGAGAGGAGCTGAAAAGTTCCCAGGGACAGAGAGAGGCAGAAATGTTAACTCCGCACCTCGCATGTGGACACACCCTGTGTGGCTTTCCTAGAATCATTGTCCTGCCTGGTGATTCTCCATTGTTTCTTAGCACTTAATAGGGCCAGTCTTTCCTCATATCTAACGCACTTTGCAGGATGTTGATTCCTACCTAGACTGAATCTCAGAATTTCAGTAAGATGGATAGCAGTATCATTTATGTTGAGTACTGGGTTTCTAAGGATCAGTGTGAGAACATCTCTGTGTAATGTTCATTTCATTCTGAATTGGCAACACAGACAAAGTCACTTAACACATTTGTTCAATTCTGTCATGAATGGACCTGGCAGAGCCATATGAAGCATTTTCCTTTCTGCCCATCAGACACATACACACACATAAAGGGCAGTTTCCACACAAGCCTCTTAGTGTTTCCAGCCAGTTTCATGCTGAAGCATAAGCCATCATGTGTGGCCAGCACTCAGTTGCTTTGCCAAAAGAGTATAGCGCCACTGCAGAAGATGTACCCTTAGATGTTCGCTTCAAAGCTGAGGGAAGCTTGTGGTGGAGCTCACGTTTGACATATACATGCTCCTAGGTTAAATTCCCAGCACCAGAGAGAAACAACAAAAGACATAGACTTGTTTTCTTCTTGGACCATCTTCCTGTTTTGTTCTGCATCCTTTTTTGCTGTTAAGGTACTTAGTAGCATTTCATGTTTTCTTTCAGTCTTTACAGAAAAGTACTGTACTGCGAACCATGTGGACAAACTTCCTGGCCCAAGAGACTGGGTACAGATTCTACAGGATCAAATTAAACTGGCCAGAAGAAGGTTAAAAAGAGGCTCAGGTATGAATGAATAAGCTGTAAAAGGAGTCACTGTGACAGTGCTTTGCTGAGCTCTCTGCCTTTTAAAGCACAGAGCTGTCTCTCTAGGTCATTGTGGTACCCTTTGTCTCCTGAAGGAGCTGTTTTGTGTAATGTGCTCTGGTTGGCACTAGTGAATGTTGAAAGTTGTCTTAAGACTGAATAGTAAAAATTATGTAGGCCATTTGCTTTTAATAGTACAAGAGGAAAAGATTGCTAATCTCATCTGTGGTCTAATGTATTCTCGGGCAGAATTGAGTCTTCTGTGGTTTGCTTTTATCTGACTATTGATTTCTGTTGTTTATATCTACATGAGTTTTTTAAAGAACTAATTGCTCAAAGTTTAAAGGGGGGGTGGCACACCGGGATGGTGCATGTCTTTAATTCCAGCACTTGAGTTAGCGACAGAGATCTCTGTGAGTTTGAGGCCAGCCTAGTCTACATAGTGAGTTCCAGGGCAACATGTTCTACATAGTATGTTCCAGGACAGCCAGGGCTATGTGGAGAGACCGTTTCAAATATCAAAAAAAAAAAGTGAAATTCATTCTGTCGGAAACACCACAGGAATTTAAGGGTAGATGTGTGTGTGTGTGTGTGTGTGTGTGTGTGTGTGTGTGTGTGTGTACGTGCGTGCACATGGCCATGTTTAAAACTTGAGAGTCGGCAGCTTGGCAGCTATTTTTCTAGGCAAAGTGAATGCCAGTTGAATTGTGACTACATAGATTTAATAATCGAAGTTGCAGTCTCCCGAATCTCCCAGTTGGAAATCCTTTTGGGGTCAGTTTTCTCTTATCATCCAAGAATAGTTATCTATACCAGGTCACAAATCTCTAGGTTTTATTTCTAAATTTCATGTAAATTAGTAGATCTGTTATAAAAAAAATGGAGATTCCTCAAAAAAAAAATAATAAGGCCTCGAGGAGATGGTTCTGTTGGTAATGTCTTTACCTTGTAAGCTCTACGAGTTAAGTTCCCAGAACCCATGTAAGAAAATAAATAGTAAGACATGTCCTTGTAATCTCAGCACTGGATCTATAGGGCGGGTTGGGCAGCCATCTTAGCCTGCTTGACCGAGTTCCAAGCCAGTGAGAGACAGCATGTGAATAACAGTACCTAAGGTTGTCCTCTGGTGTGACACACACACACACAAGAAATTTTTAATTACCGTATGACCCTCCAAGCTCATTTCTGGTATATCCCTAAGCAAACCCAGTAATTTAAAGAGAGATCTGCATTCCTGTATTCATCGAAGCATTTTCTTAACAGCTTCTAAAATATATAATTGTCGCACCTGCTGTGCAGCCAGCATCCAAGAATGTAGCGAGGTGGTCGGGATAGATGACACAGAGACCGGTTGGTTGCTTTAAGAAAACTTTATGCTCCCCAAGTCGGCTTAGGAGAAGAGCTCCCCAAGAAAAAAACCGCTTCCCTCTTTAAGGACTTCTGCCATCCATCTACATACAATTCTCCAACAGCTCTCCCAGACTTCTCACCCTCCTGGCTGGTGGTTTAATCTCCGGCCCCAGAAGGGGAGAAACAGCAGGCGGAACAGGAAGAAGCATCTAGCCTAGCAGTAGGGGGTGTCAAAGTCATGGTGTTTCAGTGAGCAAGTCCTTATCTGAGCCCTATCAAGAGCTTTATAGCACTGAATTGTTTTCAGTAAACATTACACAGCTGCCTGCTCCCAGGCCAAAGGGAAGTGGGTCTCTGCTCAAGGTCTGGTGTCCCCACATATAATCAACATAAGCATCCACTTTACTAGATCAATTGATAAAGAAAATGTGATATATGTGTATGTATGTATATATACAGTAAACCAGCACAAAAGTGTGAGTACCATGGAATCTCTCTGGGGAATCTGAAAAGGTAGGTCTCACAGAAACAGAACACAGTGATGGTCAGTCTCCAAGAGCCTGAGGAGATGTTGGGCAAAGGAAGAGAATTTCAGACAAAAGGAGTGAGAGTGATTATGTGACATGACAAGCAGGGTTATTTATAATATATTTTAAAATAATTTAGTTCATATCCTATATCTTCATATAGTGAGTGATACATAGATTAATTCACACATTTAGCCATTCTACATGTGTATTTCTAAAATACCATGCTGTATATCAAAATTTGCATGACTTTTTATGTTAGAAGAAAATGTATTAGGCTTGTTTCCATAATATGGTCAGAGTAGTCCTACAGTAGAGAGTCTCAGAACCCGATGGTAACTTGGTCCATGGGGCTAGGTACCCCTGTAGTCCTACTCTGAATGAAGGCCTGGAGATTCCTGGAGAGCGTCTAGTCCCCAGTCCACATTGGAATCCTAAAGAAGCTGCTTTGAATGTCAGCAAAAGGAGTCAACACCAGCAGTAGCAAGGAAGATGAATTCACTAGTGAGAGTGAAGGCCAAGAGAAACACTGGGAAACTACTGGAAAGTGATACCCACATTCAGAGCAGATCTTCCCACATAATTAAGGTGGTCTCCCATCAGCTACTTCATCATGGCAGTCTTCCGAAGCGCATCTAGGTTGTCACATTGACAATTAAAGCTAACACCATACTCATGTACTAGTATTTGACCCCCTACCGAAAGGAACTGCCTTGACCATGAACTTAGTTTATTTCTTTTGTTGTTGCTATTTTATTAAATGTATGCATTATTTTTATTTGTCAAATGAAAATGAAATCCAGGCCACCTTGACATCAGGCCTTGGGAATCTGTGTGGCCGGAGTATGAGACAGTCTGGAAGGTAGATTTTGGGACCTGAGGTGCTGGAGTGTGTGCAGGTACCACTCCACAACGCATCTCTGAGTGAGTGAGTGCAGAGGCGGAACAACCGAGTCTAATTCACTTTAATGAACAGAAGTCTGTTGGCTCACAATTCTGGAGGCTGGAAATCCAAGACTGAGGACTTTCTTTCTGCATCAGGCCATGGCAGGAAGGCACAGAGAAAGTGAGAGTAAGAAAGAGGAAGGGGGGGGACAAACTCGCCCCTTCCTCGGTGGCAGGATCGCGTCCTGTCAGCTCTCATGAGGCTTCTCCTCCCTACACTAAGCATCATCTTTGGGGGACACATTCAGACCACAGCAATCTCTGATGTGAGCTTGTTTGTTGAGTTTTTCCCAGTGCAGCCCTGTCCTCCAGCCTCAGGCTCTGCAGCCAAACTGGCCTTCTCTCTGGTACTAAAACTGGCTGCTCTCTCCCACCTGTCATAAGCACTGCCGGGCTTCCCTTCTGCAGAAACCTTTAGTAGAGGCCCCAACACACTCCCTTTTGTTGGAGCTTTTGATCAGCAAGTTTACAAAACACATGCTCTACCTGGACATTCATAATGTTGTATCAAGTAGGCTCCCTTAGCCACTGAGGAGGAAGGTGCCTCTGTGAAAGAGCCACCCTGACATACAGGCCACACTAGATCAAAAGGACAGCATCCCAGCCATAGTAGACGATTGGTCTGTGTGTGTGAAACACTGGTACACTTCCTTCTCAGTAGCACAAAGCTGGGACTCCAGCAAACAGAAAGGAGAGCCACTCGCCTTTGCTGAATAAGGCCCGGGATCTATTATGCGACTGGCTCTGGGGTTTTTCATCTTGATTATTTTCCATCAAAATGATAATACAACGTGTTAAAGGTATTGCACAACTCCCAGGGCCTTATTTATCATCCTTGGCTCAGTTCCTAGAACTCGGTCCAGACTCTGACTAGTTAGAGCTAATCAGCTCACCACTTGGGGAAGCCTGCACTGACTGTAGGAGAAAGAGGTTGCCCCACACGACTGGAAAGGTCGTTATGCAAATCCAAACTAATTCATTTGGGGCTCTCATCACATGTAATAATTTTTTCTATAACTAGAATTCTGTTCCTGGTGTGGATTTTTATCATTTTTATTAGATTACTTCCTCAAAGCTGAAATCACAATTTATTGTTTGTGTTAGATCCAGGAGTAAAGCTGTCACTGCTACTAAATTTTTATTGGACTTGCTCAGTCTTTTCCAAATTTTACAACTTGATCATCGCCAGAGAAGAGCGGCTTTGAGCTTGTTACAGACGGGTGTTATAATTAACACCCTAATGTTCTTCACCCATGATACTTGCCCTGTGCATACAGATAGCATATCAAATTTACATAGCTTACATATATTTAGGTTACATATATTCTGGCAAAATATATAACTTAAATATATGTAAACTATATATGTTGTGTTCTGACAAAAGCATATGATTGTGTAGGCACGCATATAAAAAGTATGGGTTGGGCTAGAGAGATGTCTCAGAGCTTAAGAACACTGACTGCTCTTCCAGAGGTCCTGAGTTCAATTCCCAACAACCACATGATGGTGCACAAAAAATATGGGTAGGAGCTGGATAGATGGCTCAGCAATTAAGACCATGGCTATTTTTCCAGAGGACCTGAGTTCAATTCCTAGCTCACATAGTGGCTCACAACAGGCTACAACTCAAGTTCCAGGAGATCCAGTGCCCTCTTCTGACCTCCACATGCCCCAGGTATACAAGTGGTTCGTGGACATACATATAAGCAAAATACTAATCCACATAAAATTTTAGAGTGAGTTATTTTTAAGTAAGGGTAGCTGAATTAGAAAAGGAAGGTCACCTCAGACCCCAAACTAATTTTTGTACCAAACAAAAAGCAGATATGTGTTAAGGTAGAAGAAATTTTAAAATATAAAATGAACTACAGTTTGAAGACTTTAAAAAATGAGATTGTTACTATCCATGTGCTATATATGTATTATTAATAGTAAAAGATTGAGAATCCAGACTCGAAGTTAATTCTTATCTTTGGCATTGTCACTTACTAGCCCTAATTTATTTCTTACCTCTGATTTCTAGTGTATTAAGTCAAGCATAGCATCAGACATAGCCTATAAGACTTCCTATCAGTCAGATGACAAATTGCACACAAGGTGCTCAATAAAAAGTATTAGTAAATGGCGATGGCCATTTATTATTACTGAAGAATTTTAAAACTCGGGTTATAAGACAACGACGATGTAAACTGTCTGCCTTTCAGATTCATTGAAACCAGTCAGAAGGAAATGGTGACTTCTAAATATAAAAGGCATACATTCATTGTTTTTTATCATGTAAAAAGTTTTTTCAGAATCCATAAGAACCAAGCTAAGGAACTGGATCTGTGGGTAAAGTATTTGCTGCACAATCAGGAAAGCTGGGGTTCCGATCCGCAGAACCCTTATAAAGCAGTCAGGTGTGGAGGTGTGCATCTGTAACCCCAGCACTCGGATGCTGGTAGAGACAGTCAGATCCCAATCTCGATAAAACTGCTAGCTGCCGGTTCAGTGAGAGAACTCACCCCCAATGTAATGTAGAGCGTGAGAGTAATCGAGGAAGGCACCTGACGATGCCTCTGTGCATGCTAACACATGGGAGTATGCAAGGGCATGTATGCACATGTGCACACATACAGAGTCCACCAGGGCGCCTAATGCCTGTGATCTAGAGAATTTTAGTATATCTTACAAGTTGTCTGTAAATCGCCTTACCCAACTCAATCCTGCCGTTTGTCTTTTTGTCATGCTATTAAATATTATCAACATCAGTTTTAATAGTCTCTACTCCAATCAAAGTTGGCCGTGACTGTTCCATCTCTTCTCTGTTTTCTTTCTGTGGCGAACCATTTGGGCCAGCAGACACCGATGCCAAACCTACCCACCAAGGACAAGAGACTAGAGACTAAACTAGAGGGAGAAAGTCTGGAACGTTCCTGGCTGTGTCTGTCCTCGGTCGTGTTTAAAGCACCACACGGAAAATGAGAACAGAGCATTGCTTTGGCGTTTCCACCATCTCCACACTACAAGGTGGAGCCAAAGGCTAGCCTCGGCACACAGTGTAGTCAGCAGGAACGTCGGGGTGGGCAAAGGACATGGAGGATGGCACCAGGACTTCCCCAGTCGCCATGTGTGAATTCTCCTCTGCCCCTAGCGTGTGCGGGGAGACTCACTCCCTTGAGTTACCAGGAGACTTATGAACCCCTTCTCTTTACATTTAGTAGGGGTGTGTGTGTGTCTGTGTGTGTGTGTCTGTGTGTGTGTCTGTGTCTGTGTGTGTGTGTCTGTGTGTGTGTCTGTGTCTGAAGGGTCACGCTTTGCAAAACCATTAAGAAGCCTGAAACACGTCAGAAGAGCAAGGTTTGCATTTTAAATCACAAAAGAGAGGAATCTTTTGAAGAAATATATATTTTCTCTCTGTGGCTTCCTCCTCATGGAATAGATTCAGGAGTTAGACTGAGAGCTGCAGAACTAGGATCTCCAAAGAAAGGCTCATTCTGAGAATTCCCGCTAGGAGTGGCTGGGGGGGTGGATGTGAAAAGTACAGTTCTACGGGCGGAAGGCAGTAACGTAGGTGTCCTCGGTGTGTGGTTAAAACCACGCTGCTGCTCGCTGGAGGTATACCTTATGAAAAGAATCAAAATGAACTGAAATCACCTATGGCTGACAAAACAAGGCCATAGAGTTTTCAAGTTTTAACACAGGAGCCCTGACTTCCTGTCATGATTATCCAAACGAAATTGTGTTTAAATAATGATACTGAAGCCTGTAATGTGAACCAAGTGACGTGAACAGGGGGCGGGGGAGGAAAGATGGAAGCCACTGTGTACACCGGAGTCGCTTTAATTGTGTTCCCGTGTTCAGCAAAATGAATGTGCTCCCTACAGCTAATGAGATTTGTGTTTTATGTTTGTAACCAGCAGAGGTAGCTGACGGGGATGAAAGACTGGACGGCATTTCGCTACCACCAACAGGTAAAACACATTTACATTTCATCACCGCTGCAAAGAAACATCTGCATTGAAAATGCTTTTGCCATTAGGGATGCAGGCGCTTGAACAAGCTGCCTCTGTAATAAACCCAGGCCCGCACAATCCCCAGTTTCTTGGGGGTCTAGGTTCAGAGCTTTTTTTTACAGTGGATATGAAAAGCAACATTTTTCTCACACCCTATTTCATATTCATTAAAATCTCAGAAGTGCAAATCCTAAGAAGTTGGTATCACAACATGATGCTTCAAGCCTTGAGACCTAAAAAGGCATTTTTAATATAAAAACGACACTCAGTTTTAAACCAGGATTGCCAACTTGATATGACCAAACTCAGGCCCATTTTGTCTTATTCCACCAAAGGCCTTTGAAAGGCATGCGTCAGCACTCTTCACTTAGTGACGCCTGTGTTTTTAAGTGTGACTGAGCGAGTCAGCCCATCCGGTGTGAACCAGGTCAGCAAATGCAAGAGAACACTGACACATTCGCTGCACAATTGTGTTCAACTGTGGGCTTGACTGTGATGTCATCGCAAGACTCTGGTGTAATTCCTTACCCTGACCTCCTGCCTGTGTGTGAGTTCACACCCAAGAGGAGAGGACTAGATGCCTGATCAGTGAGCCATGTGTCAAACAGTTTATCCCCTCACTTGGGCTCACAACTCCCTATTGGCTGCCCTTCAAAGATTCTCTGAAGATTCCATCCGTAAAATCCAGACAGTCCAAAGAAACCTTGAACTATAAAAGCTCAATTCAGTGGGTTTTTTTTAAAATGTGTTCCTTTTTTTGTTTGTTTGTTTTTGTTTTTTCCTACATCTGAGGCAGTGAGACTTGAATTAAATTGAGAAAGTATGAATGGAATATGTAGTATGTTTACAGGAACTCTTGGTAGAGGTCCTAGTGGTCACATAGTCTTGATAACACAAAACTTAGGGTGGTCACGAAAGCAAAACTCATAGGTACTCTTAGAACTGCCAGAAGCCCCAACCATGTCAATTACACCTTGCTTCTCTGTCTTGAGTAGCCAAGTAACATATCAGTGGACAGGTAAATGAAATGAGCCACAATAGTGCACAAAATATCTGCATATATCCAATTCTTATGATCTATGTTATGTAAAGGGGATTTCTCTCCTTGTTTCCATACCTGAGTTGAGAGAGTTGAATGTGTGATCTCTAGTGCTTATTACCACCCTCTGAATATCAGGACAGTGCACACTGGCAATACTTTTGTCGTCTTGGACCTATTCCTAGCAGATAAAGGAAATACTAATCATAATGGTGAAAGTATAGTTCAGGGGCCTTGAGGAGGAATGTCATACTTTTCTAGTTGTCGCCTGGGCATCTGCAGCAGCTGTCTTCTGTGTCAGATGACATAGTGGACTTTAGATTTATTACTTGAAGACTGTGCATCTTGCAAATATACCTTTGCATTTAACTGTCTAAAGACTGAGGCCGAGCCAGGCATTGGTGGCTCATGCCTTTAATCCCAGCACTCGGAAGGAAGAGGCAGGCAGATCTCTGTGAGTTCAAGGCTAGCCTGGGCTATAGAGTGAGTGCCAGGATAGGCTCCAAAGCTACACAGAGAAACCCTGTCTCAAAAAACCAAAAAAAAAAAAAAAAACCAAAGACAAAAACCAAAAGATTGAGGCTGAGATTTCAGAGGAAGCAACAGCAGCCCAGGGATACTAGAGGAGTTTCGCAGGACTGACAAGTCGCAAAGGAATCTGAAAGTGAAGTTCGTGGGAGTTCGTTTGGACCATTCCCTCCTATTATCTAGCCTTTCCTGAGGCCCAGAAACATTAAATGACTTTCCCAAGGTGTCACAGCTGGTGGTAGATGCCAGGCCCAATCCCCTCAACTCCCAGCCAGTACAGCATAGGGCTTTCTTATACCAAAGCCAAAGCCAGATTTTCTCTGCATTTCTTAAAGATCCTGGGAGATGATAGAGGAATCATTAGGATTCCATTTTTACTGGTTCAGTCTTCACATTTGTAATGCTTGGCATCAGTCTACCCAAAGTTCACTCCAGTTTAAGCTCCTTTCTTTGATTTCTTTCTTAAATTCTGCCTGGAGCTTTGAAGAAGAAAGTAGACTATTGACAGATACAGTTACAAACTACTGAACAGCGTGGTATATGTTTTTTAATGTATTTACCATTTTGGAAAAAGAGGGAAAAAGGTCACAGATTGATTCTCAGATTTTGAGTATCAAATTAAAATCTTGATAGCACGCTTCATGGTTGCCTTCTAAAGTAAAATCCCCAATCTGGCCAGCTTCTTTGGTTGCTGCAGGTCACCCCTCCACATGCTCTGACACGCACCCAAAGCAGTGAACCCCATGTCTTATACAATGGTTACAATGGCTCAGCCTCACTGAGCAGGATTCAAACCACATCTCCATCTCCTTATTTATCTAAGCTGACAAAAGCAGATCCTTTGGAAAGCCTCAATGGTGCTTTTATTACTTTAAAAGTCATTTTGTTCCTTTAAATTCTGTATCAAGAAGAGATGAGGGATGATCCCTGTGTTGCTGTGAACCTGTAAGGGTCAGGGTAGAATTTCGTTCAGTCAGATGGCCTGTGTTTCCAGATCTCAGAAGGGTCTCATGTAGCCCAGGCTGGCCTCTGACTTTGAGTTCCTGATCCTCTTACACCATAGACATAGACCACCACACCCTGCAGAAATGGGTTAACCTGGGCAGTGAGCCTTTTGAGTAGCAGTCAGCACCGGCCTTGGGTCTGATGCAGATTCTGCCCTCAGACAAGCGGGGGAGACAGAAACAAACTTGCACGCTGTGGCACAGATGTGGAGAGAGCCTTTGATGGGGAACTGCTCCCAGAATCTAGGAACAGTTGACATTTAAAGAAAACAATGTGTAAAGTCAAATCAAAGTAGACCATTTTCAGTTTGAAGATGGGGCATCTGGATTTGATAGGGTAATAATTGTCTAGACTTAGCAATTTGCATTATCAGTCAGCATTCTTTTGTGGGTTTTATGTTTTAGAAAGCACAAGTCACAACTCCGGGACACTGTTATTGCTGTTTCCCCTATATTCAACTTTTCTCTATTTGGTTTATTTATCTACTGGAGATCAAATACATGAACTTTTGTCTGCTGAGTTGTTGGATTTTCACCTAAGAAGCATTTTTCCCCACTCTATCTAAGTCTGCACATTGCTATTTAATAGTGTTTTCAGGTAAATCAGATTTAGCTATTTTCTATTGATGGACAATACATCACTAGTGGTAATACATATTAATGAAATTTCTTGTTTTAAAAAATCAACAAAAATTCCTAGTTCTTGAAATTATTCATCTGGCGCAATTAAAGCTTAGCAACTTAACTGAACAGCACAAGGATGTACCCCACCCCTAATCCTTCAGGTGACTGATTTTTCCCCACCACACGACCCTGGTCATGTGAGAAAATATACAGCTCTGCCTTGGAGAAGTAGCCTCTCTCATTGTCTTGTCTCTGTTGTAGGTAACATATTTGTCACCAAGAGAGAGACCCCGGAGGACCCAGATCCAGGTTCCATTGCCTAGACTTGCAGTTTAGCATACTCTTCCGTTTCCTCAAAGGTCCACGTAGCAGTTGAGGTTCCTGCAGTGTGGGTGTCCTGTGGTGGCTTGTCCTGTCTGAATAATTTCTTTGTAATATGTGGTGTCACTACTCCAATTTGGCATAATCTTTTATTAAAAGAAATCATGCTTAGAGTTGTTACCTTAAACGTCCAGTGTGTGTGACACATCATAAGGAGGCAGTTCTCTTCCTGTTTTAATTCATTCATAGTCTGTGTGAATACACAGTCTTTTTAAACATATTTATTTTATTGTAAATTGCTTAGCTGCATGCAGAGGAAACCTCTTTCCAGGACTGATGGAGTTTACAAAGCAGCATTAACTAACCCTTCAGCTTAGAGAAGGAAAGGTAGTTTTGGGAGATGGGATAGCTCTGACCTGGTCTGTGAAGTCATTTATGACGTCAGTCATAGTAACCCAAAACAGTCATTCAGAAGTGAAGTACAAATGATGTATGAATTCTTAGCACTTTCACGTAATTTATGATGATGTAATGACAAAAAAGTTAACTCAGAGTAACCAGCAATTTGCTTAGGAGCCATCAAGCATTTAAATATGGTTTAAACTGAGTTTGACCCTGTTTTCATGTTCATCTGGTCCCTCATACACTTACCTTCTACCTTATGTAAAACTAAATATGAGAAAAATCTGGGTTTATTTTAAAGAAATCTTTGTTGTGTGGGTATTTGCTTTGCAGAAACATTTACCTCCACATTTGCTCCGCTAATGAAATAGTGCATTAGAAATACCACTTACTTAGAAAACCTTGCGTTTGCACCTTAGGTAAAGCAAATTGCCTTGAATCTTGGGCACTTGACACAGAAGACCAAAAATTACCATAAAAGAAATGTGACCCCAGGGATTAAAAACTGCCATGACAAAAGCTTAGCCTTTTCTCTAGTTCCTTTCAGCCACAGGGCAGAACCAACGGTTAGTGCTGCTGGGACTGAGTCCCGCCCGCCTTCTGCTTTGCCTGAGAGAACTGAGAGTTAGGTAAGTGGTTGCTTAGGGTCAGGTTACCCTTCATGGCCAGATGGATTAGAACCTGGATATCAGTGTGCTGTGTCATGTCATACTGAACATGTAATACTAAAAATAGGAGACTAGGGCAGCACTCCACTGAGACCAGCTAATGAATGAAGATGATAAGTGACATCCCAGGAATGTGATAAAATGTGCTTTTAAGTGTTGCTTGTGGAGTCCATCTAGCAACTAGAGAGCAACATCTCATCTGTGCATCTTTTACATCTCTTCCTTTGGAAGCCACAGGGATGGCTTGGAAATTATTCCCATCATACCCTTCAGTTACTGGTTTCTGTTTCCAGCCAGCCCTAATCCCTTTGTTTTATTGAGTGGTCTGATGAGCTGCAGACAAACCAAGACTGTTAATTCTGTAACAGATCCTGGGGGGGAAAAAGTCTTCTGCCTCCTAGAATGAAAAGAGAGTAGAAAAACTGAGTTAGTGCCCTTCACTCTATTAAATGATGGGGAATGTGTTTTCAGTACAGGAAGAACATATAGTTACAACCGTAGGCCTGTTCAGTGTGCACTGTAAACCTTCAAAACACACTTCCTTCCAAGCCTCGGTGACAGCTTGGAGTCTTCAATACTTGAGGAAGGTAGGATCATTCAGTTCATGGATAAGTGCAATGGATTCACAAATTGGAAAGGCAGACCAAAACTGCAACAGTAAAATCTTATTTTGTAAGTTTAAATTGTATTCATGTTAACTTACTGTGACTACTGTTCAGCTTTGTTCAGAAACCCTTTTTATAGGCTTTCTTAGCAAAAAAAAATCCATATCTATGGATGTGTCTCAATCTTCTGTACATATGTTTTATTAATATGTAAATATTCAGATTTTTAAAAAATTACTATGTTCTTTTAAAAAGAATTCAGTGTAAAGCTAGTTGTGAAAATGGTGTGTAACACTGTGTTGTGATATCAACTCCCAAAATGCCCTTTATGTTCATTCTGGAAAAATATAATAAATTACTTTAATTGAATGCACACGTGTCTTGCTTGCAACCCAGTCTTCTGTGTTTATGAAGTCTACGCTGCTCATTAATTAAAAGGTATTTTGAATATTCTGATGATTTTTCTCAGGAGTTATGCCTCTGTGGAAAATTATGTTTACAAATAAAGCAAATGGATTTCTAGCAGAGTGAGAGTCTGGTAGACGCTAGAGTCCCAGCTCTGTCTGGCAGTCAGATCAATGGCTACAGCAAGTCCCTCAGAAACACTCAGGCATTAAGAACTGAGATGCTCAAAGCCTAATTTTAAATGAATTAGGTAGCTTTATAATCCTCACTTAAAAGGTTAAGCCCTGCTTCTATGGAAACAACACACCAGAAGACCAAATCAATCTTTTCCAACAGAAAGTGACTGCTAAGGTGGACTAAGCTGCTCTCTTCTTTCAACACAGCGGGGCGCTGTGCCTCACTTGGTACTGGCCCCCCTCTTATTCCCAACCAAGGGTGTACTCAGTGCCCTCCTCAGAGCATGTGGCACTTGCAGGCTGGAATCTGGTTCCATTGAGGATTTACTCCAGGATCTAATCCAGAATAAGGGTGGTGGACTTGTGGCTGCAAGGGGTAGCTGTTGCTTAAGAACGCAGCTGGGCCCGAGGAAAGAAAGCAGCGGGATGAGCTGTTTGCAAAGAAAAATCTGCAGTCAACATAAATCTTCACATTTTTTTTCCTGTTTGAAACCAGGAGCCTGCCACAAGCCATCGCCTCCTGCCAAGACCCTCTCCTTTGTGGGCTCTTTGTATCCATGAAAGTGTTCCTTAAAGGATTCATGTGACGCTTTAGTGTCCAGGGCCACTGGGAAGCACTTGCTCCCTTATGCTGCGAGGACTGATGTCCCAGCAGAGGGCCTCTGATGGCCTTTCTCATCTGATATGGCCAAGGGAGTGTCCGCAGTAGGAGGACCCACTAGAAGGGGGAACCCAACAAATGTATCAGTTGTCTTCCTCCTGTGTCCCAGCCTTATCAAGTGATTGACTGGTTCTGTGGGCTTATTTCCTGAGTTTAGCTCCTTCATGTACCCACCAGATACCAAACTGGGCAGGTACCTTGCACCAAACTATATCAGGCTCCTTCCCTCTCAAGGCATTAGGACATCAAGTCAGCCACTGGAACAGTTTATATAAAAGGTCCTGGTTACTATCTTTCATTGATCCATTGGAATGAAGTAGGGATCAATGCACTGTGTGAAAAGCTAGGAAGAAATAAAGGACCATGTGCTAAACCCAGCCACATACAAGCACAAGGGGAGGAAACAAAAAGAGACAGGTGTGGGTTGGAGAATGGGTGGGGTGCTATCTTGGATTAGGGACTGAAAGGAGGGACTGGTGGGGGTTGAAGAATGAAGGGGGTGCTTGCTAGGGTGTCATTTGGACAGACCACAAGGTAGCAGTGGTTCAGATAAGGACAGGTGAGTCTGGTCTAGATAGTAACATTCATTCTGCAGCTATTGACAACATGCTTGGAACTACATGAGGATCATAAGAATGAGGGGAGGATGCCTTCATTTCTTGTAAGATCCAGAGGTTGAGGAGGGAGGACCGGAGCAAAGCTGTCTTCGGACATGACAGGACCTTTGTATGCATGAACTCACAGGAGCTGTAGTTGCCTGTACAAGACCTGTACAAAATCAAACCAGTCAACATTCCAGCATAGAGGAAGGGAGATCACAAGTCCCCACCCCTAACTGAGGAGCTATTGACTGGCAGTTGATGGCTTCTAGGGAAATGAGACTCCCTTTTCTTTCAAGGTGTGGCGTTAGGGAATGGGCCTCACACCCTTGAGTATATGAGCAGCACAAATGGACTCAGTGGGCTATTAAAAGGGGGGACCATGAGGCTGGGAGGGGATAGGGAAGGTAGAGACAAATCTGAGAGGGGGTGAATATAGTCTAATAACACTGTAGGATTATCAAATAATAAAAATAATTTTTAAGATGCCTTCGTTCAGTACCCACTCAAACCACATGTTACCTAATGGGACATTCCCTGTGGGAACCAGCTACATTCAAGGCCTATCTGTATTCATTAACAACTTTACCAGAAAGGCCTGGCTTTAACTTTTAAGCTTTGTCCCGAAGTAGAAGCAATTACAGTCTCTAGCACCATTCATTTTTCTCAATCTCTTAGTTAATCATCATCAAGGACTATCTACTCACAAGTAGCCACCAAGCTCCATCTAATCAGATTTTACCCAGGTTGCTTAATACTCTCTGGAATCATTTGTGTGCACTTGGTTATTAATGTTCTGCTGAACTCTGGGCCTCATGATGTCAGGGAGCTCATCTATGAGACCATTAAGATTTTTGGCCCTCTGAAAACATTTGTAGTCAACTTTCCCAGCAAGAGTGAATGGGCTAAGAACCTTACATGCACCCTAGTCATCCTGCCCACAGCAAATTGTGGTCTCCCTGTGTATGACTCATCTTTCCCTTGCTTTGGCAAAACACTTTGGATGAATCAACTTAGGGAAGGAAATTTTTATTTTGGCTCACGCTTCAGACTCTTAACAGATCCCACATTGCTGTGGCTTGTGTTGATGCAGAGGACCATGGGGAGAGTGTGGAGCAGAGCACAGCTGTTGGCCTCATAGTATCCAGGATGCAGGAAAAGGAGGAGAGGGAGCCTTTAGAAGGCATGCCTTCTCTGACCTTCTTCTACCTAGGCCCCACCTCTGATTAGGCATTCATCTATAAACTCATCAGTGGAGGTACAATCACATCTCAGTGACCTACACCTCTAAAAAGTACCCTAAGGTCCAAGCTTAGATTCTAGATTCCAACATACACACCCCAGTACTGCCCAGTACAAAAGCAGCTCCCCTCTCATCAACCCAAGTGATGAGCCTTTATCAGAGAACCAGACCACTGGCAACATTATATTGTGCTGGCCTCTGTGCAGGAAGATCAGGCAGGCAGACACCTAACACTGTACTGTCCATCCTCCTATAGTTTAGATCATATGGGCTACTCTGTCATGAATCTATTGCTTCCATAAACAGTGGCAAAATTGTGACAATTAGTGACCAAAGAGTCACTGGCCATGTTTAGTGAATTTCACAACTCAGACTTTCAACCAATGCTCTGTGTATACACAGATCAACTCCTGTATTCTGTAACTCAGAGTGAATGAAATTGGGCATCCTCCAAGCAGTAATATATACAGATATGTATTACATGCATGCATGTGTATGTATGTTTAGTGCTTGTTTTATTATTAGTGAAAATGAACATTCAAAGAATAATAGTTAAAAGACAAAGTAATGTTCTAGAGACAGAATTCAGATGATATAATACCCAGTACATTTTAAATATAACTGATGACCCAAATAAAGATGGTGTTCAAAGGCCTTTTTCATTGTTTTACTTGATATCATTTAGATCTGTTCATTGAGGAGTTAGACGTTTTAAATCATAAAATTTGGAACTAGAGAGATGGCTCAATGGTTAAGAGTACTGGCCTTCATCTAGAGGAGCCAGTTCAACTCCTAGCACTCACATCATGGCTCAAACCATCTGGAAATCCAGTTCCAGGGGATCTGATGACTTATGGCATCCTCAGGTACCAGGTGTACAAGTAGTACACAGACATACATGCAGGCAAAACACCCATACAGATAAATAAAATTAAATTCTCAAGTCTAAATTTAAGACTAATATACTTTAGGCCATCACTTTTAACTACTCCCCCAGAAGTGCAACTGATGCTGATGTGTTGAACTGTTTCTGACCAGCTCTCTTTCTTCCTGTTATGTGAACTCTTCTACTCAAAGTTGAGACAGATTCAAAAAGGTGGAGGGCCCTTGGTATGACTGTGAAGCGAAAATCAATTTTACAGGGGAAATGGAGCATTCTAAATTGTTACAACTAAGTGACTGGTGCCAATTGCATATTTTGTTAGAAAAACTGCTTTGTGCTATATTCTACCATGGAAGGAAAAGAGGTTGTTATAATAGAGGGCACTCACCCGGTGTCATACCAAATTGCATATCATCCCAAGGCAATATATTTCTAACTACCTGATAAGGAAAATCAGAAGTAACACAATTAACAAGCGCTGGGCTTCCCCCTCCCCAATCTGGTTATGAACATCCTCATACTGCAACACCCTGATGGGAAGCTCTTGACCTCATATAACCACACCTACTCCCTCCTCTCCTGCCCTTCCCCGATGCCCCTCGTAAAATGGACCAGTAATTGGGAAAGTTCTGACTCTCCTTAGTAGAGAGGTACAGTAGCAGTCAACAGGCATGTGTGCACTGTCCAGTTTGTCATCCTACCTCGTTAACCTCTGCGTTTCTGAGACAGTTCCTGTGCCTTCCTCCAGTGGAACTGGCTGGCCAGTCTTGAGTGTGACCATACTATAAATGTCGGGCTGACTGCTGTATATGGGCTGCAGACCGACACACACATATAATAGCATGACCATGCCATTATGGCTCTGTTTTGTTTTAGAAAATGAAAATGCAGACACTTGGAGAGCAGAAACAGAGGAACATAGAGTAGACAGAGTTAGACAGAAAGACAGTTGACCTCTGCAGGTGAATAGCCAGATGACCTTTAAGACTGAAAGACTTCAACTACCTTCAGTTAAATAGTTTGCAGAAGTGAAAACTTCAATTGCCATATGAAAGTAGACACTGGCTGAGAAGGTGGCTTGGTCATTACAGTGTTTCTATAGAAGTAGGAAGGCCACGGTTTTCCCTCCAGTACCCATGTTTAACAACAAAAAAGGTAATTTAACAAACTGTGCGTGGTGGCGTGAGCTTGAAATCCTAACAGTGGGGGAGGGGCAGAGAGGATGATTCACTAGGGATCACTAGCCTGCCAGCCTCACCTATGTGACAAGCCCCAAGCCAATGAAAAATCTTGTCTCAAACAAGGTAGACAGCTTCTGAGGAAAACATCTGCCCTGAGGCTTCAACGTGAGAGCGTGTGTGCCTGCTTACACACCACACAGAGAGAGAGAGAGAGAGAGAGA